TATCTATGGCCTTCAAAAAGTTGACGACTCTACATGTTTCGACGTTTTACATCATCCTGAGGCCATAGATAGGCCTAAATAATTTTTTTTAATTGTGTACCAGTTTAACGTTGAATATTATTTATGATTTTAACTTTATAAACAAGTGCCAAAATACTATAATTGAATCTACCTGTTAGGTAACTGGAATGATCATTTGGGACCAATTATCCAAAACAAAGTGAGAAATCTTTAGTGTACTGAGGACTCAAAAATATATAGTTACGATAATTGGGTGGTAGTCGACTAGGCCTCCATAAATAATGGCAATTGTGGAAGATGAGAAAACCTCTATCTAAGAACCAAGGCAAAAAATGAGTTATGGTTAACACCACTGATTGAAAAGGGTTCAACCTCCTCTAAATTTAATATTGCCAATGTGCATGTCATTACCTTTGAGACTAAGCAGAAACTGAGCCAGATACATGTCAACCATAGAAATTAAACCCCAATGCTGTGTGAAAGACAGTACAACTTCTATGCCAGAAGCTTTAGCTTCTGGATAGCCAGGTGCACCATATCCAATCATGGCTCTTTCCACAGAGAGAGCCTAAAAATAAGTGGAAGAGTTGGACATACCAGAAGGTATATGCACCACATCCCTGAAGCAAAGCATTCATGAAGCGAATGAAACTTTGGACAAGGTGGCAGTAGAGGAACCCAAATTGTAGTAGTGTCCTGACTTACCCCTCAAGATCAAAGAATGATCCCAACTAAGGAAACTGGGGAAACCAGGAAAAATATGTGTATGATCTCTGGTTAGTTAAAGACCAATAAAAAAGATTGCTTGTGTTCATGTCCTAAAGGCACAAAGGATTCAAGTGATGTCCACATTCCCAGAAGAGAAAGAACCATCCATGCAATGAGAGATGGAAAGGTGAGTAAGATTGTGCTATCCTATTCTATAGTGTTGAGCGGGATGGGAGACAGATGAGCCTGACTGACAGATGAGATGAAAAATAAAAAATACCCAGACTGATGACATATTGAATTGGAGCAAGAATAGATATTACAGTCCCGAAAGAAAAGCCTGCCTACGTCATATCTGAAATTTGAATCAGGATGTGACAGTCTAACAATTGATAAAATGTTGCCAGCAGTAACCAGTCATCCATGGAATGGTGTGTGCTCAGTATGATGGAATGAAGGAAATGAGGAAACTCATACAATACAGTAGAACCTATGTTAAGCATATGCAAGACTGGAGGAAAAAACCTGGAACTGTAATACCTGACCCTTGTGCACTCCAAATGCCAATAGTGGTGGGACTCCACTGCTAAGGCAAAGTGCAGGTAGGAGCTGACTACAACCAAGTTAGATATCTACAATCCCAGAAAAAAAAATCAACATAGACTAAGGAATGATTAACTTGTGAACTTTGGATGTAGACAAGGAAGATCAATGCTAGATACAAATCTCCTGTCTTCATAGGCCCAACAACTAACAGGAATAAAATGTCTGAAGAACTAGCCTGACTCTCTCGCTACCCCCAGACCAACCAGACTCAGATAACCCTAGAATGCTGGTAATCCAAATAAGCAGTGGAAACCTTGGATATAGACAGAATCTATTCTGAGTACCAATATATTGAGGAACTGATGTTGGGGATCAGAAGAAGTCAAAGAAATTTAAGACTTCAACAACAACCGGGAGGAATGTAGGAGCTAAAAATTAAACCAATTTGCATGCTAACATGCATCTCTACCTTATGATGGTCGGCAAAATCATGAAGTTACGATAAGGACTAACTGTCCATTCACGTAACTAAGAAGTAAATCTTCCAGCATGAACCACAATTTTCATGTATGTAGAAAAAAAAAAATTCACTCCCAGATCTTTCAGCCATCAATTAAGTTGCAAGCTAAAAAGCAACTGGGAAAATGCCCAAAACATCACACTTGAAGAGCCAACAGAAGAAAAACAAATCAAATGCAGCTTATCCCAAAGTGGCCTCCTTTTCGTTTTTCATAGGTCATTTAAAGACCATGGTTAAGTAAGTTGTTTTGTTAGAGCAAAGCAACTGAGGGCCATCTGCTGCATCCACCCTAAGGAATTAAACCCCACAACTGTGAGTCCATGAACCTATCCCTGACCCACAGAGGGGCTGAAAATCCAATAGACAAAGAGAAAGCTCAGAAAAAAGCAAATCTAAAGTCTATCCAAAATGTTGAAGATCGCCCTCAAATGCAGCCTCAGAGCCACCCAGAGGACCACCACAGAACCATGTATATGTCTCCATTTCACCACGACTAAGATCACTGACAGTCTCAACCAAGAGCGCCCCCACCTTCAATTGTTGTGTAATGCTAAATATCAGAGGTGGAAAGTAGAGAGACCCATGCTGGAAATAATAATCCAGAAATTCATACCATAATCGACTTGTAATCGAAAAAATAAATTTGTTAATTATTATTATTATTGTTGTTGTTGCAAATTCAACTAGATAACATAATAACATTTAAAGTATCTCTGAATGGTTGTAATACTGGGAAACCCATTAGTGATGCTTTGTTGAGAAAAAGTCATAAAATGATCCAAATGAGGTGCTTATATACAGTACCAGGATAGAGGGCACATTGACGTAGGTGGAAAATATCACAAGACAATTATCACTAAGGGTAATTGACTGGGTATAGAAGACTGGAGCAAGCGAGAAAAAATCAGACTAATGCTTAGATGGGCAAAGAAGAAACCCCTGGTGGTCGAGTAATAGCTATAAGTGGCAGTGGAGGCATGCATGTTTAGGAATTGCTATTGCATTTACAACAACTGTATCATATCTAGCATTTGTAATATTAACAATAAAACCCTGCAATACGATAAAGACATCATATGATTTGACTTAGCTTACCTTAGAAGAGGTTTCATAGCATGCTTAGCTGCTAAATGAAGAGGAGTGTTATGCTGTAGTGAATCTCCATATGAGCAGTTGGGATCAAGGGTTCGACGTAACTCAGGTGTATTCTGAAACACCTGCAAGGCTGCATACTCATCACATTTTTGCAGATGTTTTCTGAACTTGCTTGAGGCACTGCCCATACTAATATACAACTACATTAGAAGAAAGACACAATGATTTTTAAAAATATTATAGCATTCCAAAATAGTTTTATACATGAATGTATCACAAGAATATTGAGCTAGAGAAGTAAGCTAATTTAACAGTTGACTTATCATGCACTTGCTGTTGCAGTACATATATACACATTTCTGATGGTGTATCTACACCAAAGATTTTAGCCAAAAAACTGAATATTCTACATTTTTGTGCTCACTCATTAACTCTGTCTGGAAATGAGTTACAAAACAAGTTATACTTTACAAAACTGAGAAGTTTGTGTTTTTAGAAAGTTATATGCATGCAAATAAGGAATAACTATAAATATATGTTATTTTCACAAACACCATCATAAATCTTGCAGGTGGACATATAAAAATTGAAAGATTTCAAGAAAAAACCACATTAATACATGCAACACTAAAATTTAATCATTTAAGTTTAGAAGTGAGATTTTATTAATGTTTTTTTTTAAGTTAAATAACCATAAGAATTAATAAGTGAGTGCCCAGTAATCCATGTTTGGTGAAAGCTGATGCTGTAGGATATAGCAAACTTTTCAACTTTTACTAATGAAGTTTAAGTAATATTCCTTACCTTGAACAGTTGCTATATGAAAACATGACCTAATAAAATTACTGCATTAATTACATGCTTAATTAATTAAGAAAAATTTGGGAAATTTAGAGAATAAAAAGTATCTTGGACCACATAATATTTCCTCACGGTTTCTGAAAAAGTCTAAGGATTGGATATGTAAGCTTCTTGCTAATATTTCTCCTTGAATAGTGGGCAGGTGTCAGGTGATTGGAAGATGGCTGATATTACTTCTCTTTTCAAGATATAAAAATAGCTGGATAGAAGAAAGCAGAGAATTGTTATAAATAAATTTCAGTCAAACTAGATTGAAATAATAAGTGGGGTACCTCAGGGCTCAGTGTTAGAAACTCTGCTTTTATATTTACATCAATGACATAGATGAGGGAATGGTCAATAAACTGCTTTAATTTGTTGATGATATTAACGTCCTCGGTGTTACTGGCTGTAATGAGGATGCTGCTGGATAACAAAAGAACTTAGATTATTTAGTGAGTTGAGCAAATAGATGGCAAATGGCTTTTAATCATAATAAATGCAAGACAATGCATGTGGGATATTACAATTTGAATTATAAGTATAATTTTGATGGGAATAACCTTAACAGTATTATGGAAGAAAAAGATCTTGGTGTTCTGATTCATAAGTCTCTTAAGCCATCTTAGCATTGTATTTTTGCTAGTGGCAAATAGGGTTTTAGTTTGTATTTACAGAAATACTGAATAAGTCTAAAGAGCTTATTTCATTGTATAGGTCACTTGTTAGGCCTCATTTGGGCTCCTTACCTTAGGAAGGACACTGAATTGTTGGAAATGGTTCAAAGGAGGACTGGGATGCAAAGGTTGTCATACAAGGACATGTTAAAATCTCTGAAATTATATTCTCTTTGAAAAATCTGATTCAGGTGTTTGAGATTGATAATAAAACTGATATTGTCAATACCTCATTTTTTGTCATAATTAATGGTGAGAATGGTGGGACAAGTGAGCACAAATATAAGCTTTGGTAGAGCGAGAGTCATCTTCAGCCAAGGCAGTTTTATTATTCTAACAGGATGGTTGATCTATGAAATAGGTCACTTTCAAATGTGGCAAGTGAAGTAAATTTAAAGGAGTTTTAAGCAAGACTTGTTAAATAGTTAAATGATAATGGCTGGATTTGAGAGTGTTTTTATTACTTTACTTTATTTATCCATTTTATTATTATAATTTTTTAAAGCTTAGTCTAGTTGATGAGAAAGCCTTGTTGAATCAACAAGCCCCCTTTTGTCCTTAAACGTTACATTAAATAAATGGTTAAGAGGATTATCTAATCATCAGTAGGTTTAAAGACCGTTATTAGTGAGTGGTAATCATGATTATTTGACCAGAAGAATGGGATTTAAAAATCCATAGAAACATTATAAGAATGTTTTTATTCTAGAAGATGGAAAGCATCATTCTAATTTATCATAAAATTGATGAAGATGTATTTGTGCATCAGAAAAGATGAATTTGAAAGATGCATGATGCAAAAGTTGAAGTACAGCTTTATACAATCTTCAAACAACCCATAGTCTTGCCAATTGTCTTATTAGAGGGAAGGAATATAAACATTTGTTTGGACCACAGGAAATTAAATATAGTTTTCTGAAAAGATGCTTTCCATTACCCAGAATAAAATATACTCCACATTTACAAGCACTAAGTTATTTAGACAAATAACCTTCAATCATGGTAAGTGCAAGATATTTTATTTGGGTATCATGATTTGGATAATGTGTTAATTAAAGATGGAAATCCACTGAACAGCACAAGAAAAGATCATGGCATAATGGTAGATAAGACAATTAAACCAACAAAGCAGTTCTTTGTTGCCAGTAGTAAAGCTAATAGAATTTTAAGATTTACTTATTGACATACTGATTACTAGCCAAAAGAGGTACAGGGGCCTCCCATTATATGTCATGATGTGTTCCTGGAAACTGGGGCATATGTTAACCAATACAATCTTTACTTCTATTATGGGGGGGATGCATTCCTGAAAAATTTCAGTCTACTCTTGAATAACTATTTTAAAGGATGTAACACAGCTCTTTTAACTACAGTGTACTATAAAAAACATGCTTGTAAGAACATTAAAGGACTAAACAGTTTAGTGCAAAAGTTAATTGTTTTCCTGGGCTTCTTGGCAAGCATCACTTTACTATCACTAGGCAACCACTTTGGAGCCATGTCGGAAGGGTGGAAACAAGGCTTTTCTGCAGCAGAAAAAAATTGCTCAGACAATGGTATACGAACACAACATGTTTACATCCTCCACCATCTTGGCCAGGGGACAACATATCACAATCCATCCAGTAAACTTGTCCGAAAACACTGGCATGCTCTAGTAATGGAACAGCAATGTTACTTCACATATATAATGGTAGTATAGTACTGTACAGTAATTGGTGAAAATTACACCTGGTAAAGTAGTACAACAATATTTTAACACTCTAGTAATGAAACAAGGTGAGATTGTTTCAAAAATATTGATAGTATTTGGTAAACACAACACATGGAAAAGCAGTTGACAACATTTGAACACTCAAGTAACGAAACAAGGCAACATTGTTTGATGCATGGGTAGTAATTGGTGAATGCTCTAATAATGGAATGAAATAGAGTGATGTAACATATAATGGGACCCAGTGTAATTATCTGTCTATACAAATCACTAGTTCAGCATTACTTGGTATACTGTGTAGATATTTCATCTCCCTATCTAAAAAAGTATAGTGACTTACAGGAAAGCTTTTAGAGGAAGGCTAATACAAAGATCATAGTAATAGAAATGTTATCTTAAAAGGAAAGGTTAACATCTCTTAATTTATTTACTTTCAGAAAAAAAGAGAATAAAAGTTAACATTTT